TGCTACTATGATTAAACGTTATGGGTCTCTTTCTATAAAAACGTTATGTAAGTTATAAAATACTATTTTAATTAAACTAAATTAAATTGAAACAATCCTCAAGTAGATTTATTCTGTACAAAATTCTAAATGAAAGTTAAAAACTGATTGATTAACAAACACATTTTAATTGGTATGTCATAAAAAGACACACATAGAATAATTCGTGCTTTAAGTGTAATTTTGTTTTCTATATTAGATGGTTTAGGCTTAAAGCTTCCATTATTCTTTTGAAAAACATCTTCAGTACAAACTTCAGGCAGAAGTGAAATGTTCGAATATGTGGAGAAACTTGAAATTCTCACTTCTACCTAAAGTTTGTACTGATGATGTTTTTCAAAAAAACAATAAAATCTCTACGACTAAACCATCTAGAACAAAACTACACATAGAGTACTAATTACTCAACATATTTCTTTTTATGACATATATTTTTGTATGAAAGGCAAAAGAAGTTAATTTTGAAGACTGGTCAACATCGATGTACACTCCCAATACTTCTAAGTAATTCCTAAACAGTATGTCCATTTACGAATCACGTCCTTCAAATAATTCTAGTTGACAACGTTTCTCCTATAACATACAATTTGGAATTACTCAGCTTCAAACTGACAAATAACTCTAAACTGCATGGATCACACAATGTTTCATGATCTATACAGTTCAAGCAACACTCAATTAAGAACACATAGTTATTCAAGTTACCTGTACATTATGCAACTTTCAGATGAATAATGATCAACATTAGAAACTAAATATTTTGACTAAACGTATTTACATTAAAAATAGTTTACTCTATCAAATATATATTCACTGACTAGAAAATCAATCAATAATCCATTTTCGTTCATCAATTTTCATATGTAAAACGTTAATATTGGTTAGGTGACTGTCAATTGCTAACTGTCTATTGTAAAATAGTTTGTTGATAAGAGGATGTAATTTCCCCGTACTTTTTAAAAAAAAAATTAGATTCTATAATATAAACAAAATGATCAACCCTTTTTTCCCATTATAGTTCTCTTTTTATATTGGCAATCAAGATAGAACTCTAATATATCATTCATTCGTCATAAATAATCTTGAAGGGAAATTTGATGTCGTTAAGAAATTATACTTGGTAAAATTAATGTTATAAAGGATTGTTCAAAACTTAGGTCTTACGTAAAACTAGAATTTCTTTCAACAGTTGAGATCGTGTGTCAATTGAAGCTGGACCACCACGAAAAACCTGGAAGCACTGGACGGCCGTTTCGTTCTATTGTGGGATTCCTCAGCAGTGCGTATCCACTTCAGTCTCCACAAAACCCGACCTGTTACTAATCAAAATATGCTCACTAGTGACTGACTTCGAGAGGTATTTCCTCGAGTTCTAGTGAGAAGAAGTGACTAGTGGAGTTCAACCAGGTCAGTTGTGAGGTAGTAACTCACTGATGACAATGGTGGATGTTTCGCTCAATTTCGTGGATTAGTTGAAGTTAAACATTAACGCAGTTGGATGCTGGTCGGCCCAGTGGTCTAGTTGGTTAAGTGCCTGGCGCGAAACTGATAGGTCCTGGGTTCGAATCCCGTGAGGCGGGGTCGTGGGTGCGCGCTACTGAGGAGTCCCACAATCGAACGAAACAGCCGTCAAGTGCTTCCAGATTTTCCATGGTGGTTTAGCATCAATTGAGTCTTGATCTCAACAGTTGAAATTACTACAATCTCCACAAAATCCCTTCTGATAGAATTTTTTACTTAAAAACATGAATTACATAAAAATTTATGTTTTAGTAGGAAATATTTAAATAGAACGTTTTATTTCAGTACAACAACAAAAATAAAGAACAGAGAAACCCATTTGTCAGTGAATTTTATTATTATAAGATTAATAAAACCTTGTTTCAATTTAATAATTGGATTCATGAATGAATTAAAGCTAAATCAACATGGGAAAATTGGATTCGACTATTAAATTATTACAATCCCCACACAATCTCTTTCTAATGAATTTTCAGTTTGTTGATTTATTGAATTAAATTGATCTGAAGTTTCGTTTCAGTAGGAATAGTTAAGGAATTAAAAAAAGGAGGAAAAGAGAGCATTAATGATAGTAATTAAAATTGTCATAAACATACTATAGATCGTTTTCAAAACTGATATGATGGTAAGTGATTCTGATGTAAGTCATTGAGACATTTAAGTTGAGTAACTACAGTGAATTCTATCAACGAGTTATATGTGTAATAAAACTAATACCACAGACATACAAGCTATTAGTGGCAAATCAATTATAAATTTATAATTTCTATTAAAATGGTAATATATGAAATTCAATGAAAAGCCCTCTTTTCAACAAATTCTCATTAACAGTATAGGGGTTGTGGAGATTATGAAGTTTTTGATTGAGATCATGAACCGATTGATGTTAGACCATTGTTGGAAACCTGGGGACAATGAACGGTCGTTTCGTCCTTATGTGCGACTTCTCGGAAGTGCTTCAAGGTTTCCAACGGTGATCTAACATCAATCGGTTCATGATCTCAATCAAAAAATTTTCATTAAGACAGTACAATATATTAGAAGTGATTGTTATCCAAAAGAGGTAGCCAAAACGTTGTGTACAATGGTCTTAGTTTATTATTATTTCATTAGTTTCGCATTTGAGATTGTCCCACATTTATTGAATTGTTCTTGAGATTTTCTAAGATCTCACTCATATTTGTTTCTGATATTATTTTCCTTAAGCCTTATCAATAGCTTTAGAAATTGTGACAGAAACACTTCACTCAACTTACTCTAAATACATTACGATTTAATTTTATGTTATTAATTCTATACACACACTGTAAAAACTACACCAACTTATAGTATTACAGTTCGCGCTATAAAATCTGTTACATCAATCGGTTTATTCACTGTTCATATTTGCACACGAAACTGTTAGTGACAACTGTACACTTGAATCAAAAAAATTATCGTAGCGTGACAAACTGATACAAACTCTTGTATGACCATTTTCCTAACTTTTTACATGTTGAATTGTAACTTTATTGATTATACTGTAGTGAACGAGAACACAAGTAGAGACAAAAGAATGCATTTCAACACAAAATTAAAGAACATTTTAGTAAAACCTGAGAACCATACAGTGAAAAGTTCATCTGCAAAATGTCAATCAATCGTCTCAGATTTCATTGTTCTTTTATTTCCACACCAATCATTCATTGTTCTCGTTCTGTTTTCATTAAACTTCTTAACCTTCTGTCTGCAGACATTTTACGTTCTATTGATAATACATATTACTTATATCTGTCGACATTAGTAGCATACACCATAATACTGTATTCATCAATGAATATTTCCATTTGCTTATATTATTTATTGTCCATTTTTATAAATGTATTCTTGTTGATTAGTTACTGTTAGCTTTAGACAGATTTTATCTGTGCTTGCTTTTTGTGTCTGACGTCTATACTCCAAATAGCAATTATATAAAGAATAAATCATCGACTATTCATTCAGTGCGTTTTGATTATTTTCCTTTCTGTATCAAGTTAACTTCTATTCTCATTCATTTAGTTTGTTTGATCACTAGAGTGACTGGAAAATACATATCCTAAATGCAATTTATATTTGATATTTTTATTTCTGCAATGTTTTGATATGATTAGTCGACAGAGGTTACATGTTATATAAGCTATATATTATACTATCATCATCGTCCAATCATATCGGAGTCGGACAATGACGACTAAATATATATAAACATTCATGAAATTGAATATATTGATAAGAAATTCATCAAATATTGTGTTGTAAAAACATTTTTACCCTACACGGTTTCGTTATCATTTGGGTTAGTAATAACATTTGACTTAGGTGTAATGGGTGTTAATCACTAACTAATAGAATTAGTCAGTCAGTCAGTCAGTCAGTAACAACGTAGAACGTCGTACACAAGTACGTACATCAGTTCGAGTTACTATACCACATCAGCACACACATACAATTGTCGATTCAAATCCCATTGTGGTAGAGATAGTAAGAATATAAGCAGTAATCGGAAACATTACGGTTTGAAGATGTTATTCAAAGAGTATAATCCAGTGAAATAAATTTGGAAAGAGAAAACAGAAAGGGACATGAAGAATTCAGAAGATTAGAATTTGGGAGAACACAAAGGGTGTATGCACCTGCGCCATTGCAAACGATTTTGAGCCATGTCATTCAAGTTCTCTAATCATCGGTTGCTATCATCTCACGGATCCCAACCGGGCAGATACTTATAAATTTTATGTTATACATGGATTATCAACAAAATGGACACTCTCATTATTAGTTTACACTTTAAATAGCCTGAAATCTTAAGACGAAAGCATGATGGTTATCATTATTTAAATAAAAAATAGTAGATAATTAGTACAAGTAATTTATTGTTTTATCATTAAAAATCAATTTGTATGTTTTAAACTTCTTTCTCGGGGGAATAATACGACGTTTATTATCATATTTATTATTTCTCATACTGCTGAACAAGAAATTCTCAATTTTCCCGTTTATAATCAACTGGGGTCGAATCTCGTCAGGCGGGATCGTGGATACGCACTGTTGAGGAGTCTCACAATAAGACGAAATGATTGTCCAGTGCTTTCAGGGTTTACATGGTGGTCTAGCTTTAATTGACTCATGAATTCAACTATTTAATTACTATAACATCCACAAAACCCTTCTCTATGATAAATTTATCTGTTTGTTTATATGTATAAGAACATTTTAATATTTAATGCATAAATGACAATTTTTTTACAATCCACTGTCTGTATTTGTTTTATTCTATATATACGGAAGTATCGGTTATTATTCGTGATTATTTTGATTGGCCCAAATATTTTACTGCTATTTGATTGGTTAGTTGATTGATATGAAACTTTCCCTAAATAAAAAATTCCCCAGAATATCACTATTATTAAAAACAGTAAATTAAGTGAAAAATAAACACCATTTACCGATTAGCAAATGATATAATTCTACTTAATTTTATAGATTAAAGTGGAATCTATTTTACTCATATCAAATAGCCGGAGTCTCTCTCTCTCTCACAGTCTTGTATATGAGCACAAATTCTAGAAATTATGAATCATATTTATTATATCCAAGTTTACATTCAAATCAAAAGGTGAATGTTTCAGTGCATCAAACGTGTTCAAACATTACAGATCCATTTAGAAGTAACAATAATAATTACAATCATCAAATAAATTTATTAAATATGTCATATGTGAATTCAATATTGTCACCATCTCAACGTACCTATTTAACTCAACAATCTTCATTCAGTCCTACATCTATTATTAACAATAACAATTTAAGTATACTTAATGTACCTATCACTTCATATAATACTAAAACATTATACAAAGATGATACAATACATACTTCTGTTAGCAACAATAATGTAAATTCAAGAAAAACGGAGACAATTTTATGTTTAAAACGTTTATTCACCTTTTTATTATCACATGTTGGTTTAGCTATTCTAGTTATTATTTATACCATAATAGGTGGTTCAATCTTTTATGCTGTAGAACGGGAACATGAATCACAAATAAAACTTAAAATGTTTGAAAAACGTACCATTTTAATTAAAGATTTAATATTAGAATGGAGAAATTCACAATTAGAATTATTCCATACAATATTAAATCATGTAAATATCATTCAACAATTTGAACAAACAAATTTTGGTAAAAAATTCAATATTCATTCAAATTTATATGATTCTATTGAACATTTAACTAAAATAAATAATCATAATAATAAACAATATTTAACAAATCTATTAAAAGATGAACAAAAACAACAATTATATGGTTTATCATGGTATTTATCAACATTAGGATGGCCAAAAAGAATATTACCACAATGGTGGTTTTATAAAAATTATACTCATATTAATATACAAAAAGAAATCGAATTACCTAGTAACACAATAACAGACAAATTACTCAATAAAACATCAGACAATTCATCTTCTATATTGATCAATTCTATGAATAATTCAAATGAATATAATATAACTACCTCATCTTTATTGAATGTAACCAATTCAATAAAATCGATAAATAATGGGACACAATTACCAATATCAATACCTAATAATAATAATAATAATAATAATAATAATAATAATAATAATAATAATAATAATAATACATTCAATTTACAATTCAAAAATGATACACAAATAGATCATCTATATTTTTCTAAAAATTTAATTAATTCATTACCAAAACATATTATACTACTTACAAAATTAGATGATATATTACCAATTATATTAAATAAAAGTTATCAAATTGAAAATAATTTACAATATAAATTAGCTAAATATGTTGAACAAATTATAATCGCTATAAAAGATGAAGGATGGAATGGTTCAGAGCATACAGATGATTTTAATTGGACATTTGAAGGAAGTATTTTATTTGCTGTCACTATTATAACAACAATAGGTAAGAGAAATAATACTAAGTATATATATATATATATATATATATATATATATATATATATCGAATAATGATTACGTAATATAATAGTTAGGTTTTGATGGAGTTTTGTTTTTCTGAGCTGGATGGTTTGGTTGTGGAGCTTTCATTGTTCTTCTGAACGATATCATCAGCACAAACTTCAGATAGAAGTGAAGTGTTCGAATTTCTCCATATACGTTTCACAGCTTGTTCTGTACATAACGATGTACAAAGCAATTAAGTGAACAGTTTACTATATCTCGTATTCACATTTACACTTAGATTGATGATTAAAACTACCCGGCAAACAGTGAATTGATTCAAATATAATTTTTAATTATATCCAGTACCATAAATAAGTAATTTTTTATCTCAAACAGCTATGTACAGAACAAGCTGTAAAACGCATATGGAGAAATTCGAACACTTCAATTCTATCTGAAGTTTGTGCTGATGATATCGTTCAGAAGAACGATGAAAGCTCCACGACAAAACACATTCAGCTCAAAGAATAAAACTCCATCAAAATCATCCACCTGAGCTACAAATCTTCTCTACCATAATAGTTAGTTCAAATATCTTCTGTTGTGTATCTAATGTTTATATTTAATGAAACAATCTATAAAAACTATTAAATGATAAATTAAACTCTGTAGTTATTACAGTTCAATGTAAATGTTTTAAAATAATTAGTCCCTTTGATAAATTTCGATAATGCAATGAGAAGACGAAGTTTATGAGAATTATATGATATATCTGAGCAATACATTTGTGGACAATCTGATCACACGTAATAGAATTGTTAAGAACATTTATATATGAAAGACTAAAAGGCCAACTAGACAGGTTAAAGGTAAGCCATAACAAAAAATATATAATTAATATTAAAGTACACAAAAAGAAATGTGGTTACTAACCTGGATAATAAATCAGTATTACCAGGGTAGGTTAATTGTGAGGACAAATCGTTTTTGAACACATGAAGGAGGTTTCAATTTCCGTATAGCCAAGAAATATATACATATTATGTTAAGAATTAAAATGTCTCACTAAGATTATTTTCTTACTTATTTGTTTACTTACTTATGCTTGTTACACTTTATAGAGGAGCATAGGCTGCCCAACAACATTCGCCCTCCAACTCTGTTTTAAGGCAGTACTTTCTAGTTGTTTTCAGTTGTTCTTCATCCTTTTAATGTCTGCTTCCAATTCTGGACACAGTGTGTTAATTGCTCTTCTTCTTTTCCGTCTCCCATCAGGATATAAATATATATTAATTTAAGTGTTTATTTTATATGGTAAGGTTATCTCTAAAATCTTCACAAATTATACGTATAAGTTTATATTTTGTTACTGAAAAAGTTTTACAGTCGGAAATCAAAACTTGAATAGTTGAGTGTAATCATTCAGAGGTAATGAATATAAGTTTGAATTTATCTAACAGTCATTAAAAAAGGCATATTTAAAGCCTCGAATTTACTATGCTTCATAAAGTGTTGGAATCGAGAGCAGAGATACTATTGTCGAATCGTTGAAAATCTAAACAGTTGAATGGGTTAGACTTAACTATTTTCAACTATTTTCATTCAACACTGAAAATCTTAAACAATTGACATCAGTTCCTTGCCACTACCTAACTAGGGTATGTCAGTTTCTACAGTAATGGTTTTGAGCATATATTTCTTTACTTAATTGAACACGGAAGTTATGGGTAGTAATATGAAGATGATTTATTTTTCAGCTGAAGGTTTGATTAGAAATTTTCTATATATAACTGGTTATCAGTCTATGTTATTTAGAAATTTTTAATTAACAGATTTAAAGTTTCGAAAAATACCTTGTTTTTCTGTACATCAGTTTCTATAGGGTTTCTCATAGGGAGTTTTAACATGTAGGAGCCGTTTTATAACCATAATAATTCCATTAAACACCTGAAAAGAAAACTGTTAACATTCTGTTTTTCAATACAAACTGATGTAAATCATATAGTGATAACATATGGGACTCGAATGAATGTTTTATTTCTGTACAATACCCGTAGAAATCTAGACTTAGATGTACCAAATAAAACAGTAGAAATAGTAGCCCTACATCAAAGAAATCAATCTTGAATCACTGATGATTTTATTTTTTAAAAATAGAAACTAAAACCCAATATCTTTTACCTCTGATCCCAAGGTAGTTATTAGCAATTCGAATAAATCACTGATTTTTCTTTAGAATATTTGAACGGCTATACTTTATTCTCACTAAAGCCTGAATTCATAAAACTAATTCTCAACTCAAAAGAACGCTGTACAAAGCAATTAAGTGGACAGCTTACTATATCTCATATTCACATTTACATTTATTAATTTGTTTATTTAGATTGACGATTAAAACTACCCGCCAAACAGCGAATCGATTCAAATAAATTCTTTAATTATATCCAGGACCATAAATAAGTAATTTTTTATCCGAAATAAAGATTATGCAGTTCTTGAGGGTTTGTTGATTTTTGTTGTTGATATTCAAAACTGCGAATGATCAGTTTCTGTTGGCATGTTAACACTATGCATAGACTGCCTCAATATAGAATTATATCATAAGCCCCAGTATATTTGATGTGAAACCAGCAATTTAATGCAGAACACTTGTTTCTTACTTTTTGAGACTCGCTATCTGAATTTACCTGCTTCCCAGTGTTCGTATTCATATTAAGACTTTAGTCCAGTAACGTTCACTTGTAACTTCGATTTATTATTCACAGAGCTAGTCAGGGCAAAGCATTCATCCAGAATTTCATATCTATCAAAATACCCAATAAATCAATATGTGATATTACTTAGTAATGAAAATAACCGACTTCTAAACATATAAGCTACACCACCACATACACAAATTTCATAACTACTCAATAAGTTAATTGTCATATAATCAGTTCAATATTAGTCGACTCACTTGTAAGTGTTAAATAAGTCAGTTTGCTAAAAATTACCTAGACTCTAACATACTAGCTCTGAGTATACTCACAGTCTAGTAATAATCTCAATAACTGATCAATTCAAAGCCAAAGTTGATTAAATATTGGTTCACCTAATTTATATTGACAAATATTGGCTAAATAGTTTATAGAAATTCATTAGTAAATAGACATTTTTCATTACAGTTGCATAATAACCTACTAAGAAAGCTTAGTGAATCAATAAAAAATTAAAATACAGTTAGCAACTAATCTTTTCTCTATTCATAATCCAATTCTTTCCTTTATTAAAATGAAAACTGAATAACTAAACTGTTATTATTATTTGTAATTATAAAAGTTCATATGTTACATTAAAAATCCGTGTCGGGTAGAAACAGGTGTTTACCTCAGTACAATGGAAGATGATCGAGCAATTTCGTGGATTGGTTGAGGTTAGACATTGACACCGTTGGATGCCGGCTCAGTGGTCCAGTAGGTTAAGCGTTCGCGCGCGAGACTGAAGGTTCCGGGTTCGAATCTCACGGGGTGCGGGATCGTGGATGCGCTCTGCTGAGGAGTCCTATAATAGGGCGAAACTGCCGTCCAGTGTTTCCAGGTTTCCAGTGGTGTTATAACATCAATCGGTTCATTATCTCAATCAGAAACTTAAAAAATATTTGTCAGATCTTACACTGATGATGATGAATGATTGACTAGTTCCATGAACATTTAAAACGACCTTCTAACTATGTTCAGTCAATAAATCCTATACATCTTTCTTTGAATAGTTTTTTTCTTCTTTTGTTATAAGAAAAATGTTTTACAAAGTATGCAGTTGAATATACTTAAGATGAAATAATTACAACTGCGTCATCATGAAATAAGTAGTATACATTAAATTTCAGTAGTAATGTATTCATACATTTAATTTATTCTTAAAAAATACACTTATGATATCGGTTCATGATTATGCTTGTTCTATGTTAAACTTATCTCAAGAAATATACATTTTTATTAAATTATTTTTCATTCTTTATTACATATACAGTACATTTTCGCATTCAATCCTACATTTCATTCATTAACAAAAATTGTTTGGAGGCTGTATTAGATATAAAACGTTACACTTCCAACTTTTATAATCATCATATGTTAAGATAAATAATTATCAGTATAGTTAACACTTTAACTAATGTGAATATGATAACAAATTGTGAAAATATAATAGTCATTTGAGAGTAACCAAAATTAATTCTACACAAACTGAGACTTGTCTAATTTCCCTTTATGTTCTATAAGTGATAATAGTTATCCATTAATACCGCTTGTAGTTATGCGTAGGCCATTGTTCGTAAGTAATGTGTTTTTTCTTAATTTCTATCAAAACATTCATTTTCACACAAAAAATTAAAAACAGTACCTCTTCAAAAACGTTACAGATGTGCTGGAGAGATTGCAAATGATCTGAACAAAATACATGGATTTGTCATTTGAATTTATGAGTGATATATGTTTGTGGTACATGTTAATTATGTTGATAGATATAAGTAGTATGTAACCGCAATCGAAAGTGGAATGTATACGAGCAGAAGATTGAGAAGATTGAATTGAAAAGATGAGGAAAGGAAATAGAAAATAATTGTAATAACAACAGAATTAAAAGAATCATGAAGCATGTAAACGTCAACTGAAGGATTATGTGCAACTAATGTATTTAATGTATAATTTTTACATTTTACGAATGCACTCTGTAATTTTGCATTAAACAATAAATTGGTCTTTTCCATTCATTGTTCATTCATTAAACACTGAATAACATGAGCAGCTATGTAAAAAACCGGTACGGCTGGTAAAATTGTAAATTTAATGAAGGACACAATCTATAGTAAAGAACTTCAGTGAAAAACAAAGCTAAATTTCCCAATTCCTAAACATAGTTGTAAATAGACTAAGATTTGTCAAACTTAAATATTGCACTAGTGATATTAAAATATAGATTAAATCTCTACTAACGTTTATGTCTAAAATTTACAGTTCT